CAAGTACAGTACTCTCCTCCACCAGGTCACACCCCACCATATACAGTACTCTCCTCCACCAGGTCACACCCCACCAAGTACAGTACTCTCCTCCACCAGGTCTCACCCCAACAAGTACAGTACTCTCCTCCACCAGGTCACACCCCACCAAGTACGGTACTCTCCTCCACCAGGTCACACCCCACCAAGTACAGTACTCTCCTCCACCAGGTCACACCCCACCATATACAGTACTCTCCTCCACCAGGTCTCACCCCAACAAGTACAGTTCTCTCTTTCACCAGGTCACACCCCACCAAGTACGGTACTCTCCTCCACTAGGTCAGACCTCACCAAGTACAGTACTCTTATCCACCAGGTCACAACCCTCGAAGTACAAATACTCTCCTCCACCAGGTCACACACACCACAAAGAAGAGTACTCTCCTCCTTCAGGATACACTCCAACACGTACAGTACTCATCTCCATCAGGTCACACTCCAACACGTACAGTACTCGCCTTCACCAGGTCAAAACCATCACCTCAATCACGTCACACCTCACTATATTCATTCCTCCACCAAGTGCAGTTTAGTATTTTCCTATACCAAGTTAAGTACAGTACTCACCACCAACAGATACAGTACAATATTCACCTCAACCACGGTAAGTACCCAACTCCACTGCGTACAATACTCACCTACACCAAGTACAGGTCACACCCCACAAAGTCCGTTATTCATATCCACTATTTGCATTACAGTACTCACCTTCACCAAATACAGTACAGAACTTCCCTCCCTCAACTACAGGTCACACACTATCAAATTGAGTACTCAACTTCACTACGTCACACAGGTTAAAGAGTAGTACTCACCTCTACTGAGTACACTACTCACCTGGTTGATACCTGGTTGATACCTGGTTGATGGGGTTCTGGGAGTTCTTCTACTCCCCAAGCCCGGCCCGAGGCCAGGCTTGACTTGTGAGAGTTTGGTCCACCAGGCTGTTGCTTGGAGCTGCCCGCAGGCCCACATACCCACCACAGCCCGGTTGTTCCGGCACTCCTTGGAGGAATAAATCTAGTTTCCTCTCGAAAATGTCCACGGCTGTTCCGGCAATATTTCTTATGCTTGCTGGGAGGACGTTGAACAACCGCGGACCTCTGATGTTTATACAGTGTTCTCTGATTGTGCCTATGGCACCTCTGCTCTTCACTGGTTCGATTCTACATTTTCTTCTACCTACACCAAGTCATTCTCCACAAAGTACAGTACTCTCCCCTACTGTGTCACACCTCACCATACAGTACTCGCCTCCAAAAATACAGGATTCTCCTCCACCAAGTACAGTACACACCTCCACCAAGTACAGTACTCACCTCCACCAAGTACAGTACTCACCTCCACCAAGTACAGTACTCACCTCAACCAAGTACAGTACTCACCTCCACCAAGTACAGTTCTCATCTCCACCAAGTACAGTACTCACCTCCACCAAGTACAGTACTCACCTCCACCAAGTACAGTACTCACCTCCACCAAGTACAGTACTCACCTCCACCAAGTACAGTTCTCATCTCCACCAAGTACAGTACTCACCTCCACCAAGTACAGTACTCACCTCCACCAAGTACAGTACTCACCTCCACCAAGTACAGTTCTCACCTCCACCAAGTACAGTACTCACCTCCACCAAGTACAGTACTCACCTCCACCAAGTACAGTACTCACCTCCACCAAGTACAGTACACACCTCCACCAAGTACAGTTCTCATCTCCACCAAGTACAGTACTCACCTCCACCAAGTACAGTACTCACCTCCACCAAGTACAGTACTCACCTCCACCAAGTACAGTTCTCATCTCCACCAAGTACAGTACTCACCTCCACCAAGTACAGTACTCACCTCCACCAAGTACAGTTCTCATCTCCACCAAGTACAGTACTCACCTCCACCAAGTACAGTACTCACCTCCACCAAGTACAGTACTCACCTCCACCAAGTACAGTTCTCACCTCCACCAAGTACAGTACTCACCTCCACCAAGTACAGTACACACCTCCACCAAGTACAGTTCTCATCTCCACCAAGTACAGTACTCACCTCCACCAAGTACAGTACTCACCTACACCAAGTACAGTACTCACTTCCACCAAGTACAGTTCTCATCTCCACCAAGTACAGTACTCACCTCCACCAAGTACAGTACTCACCTCCACCAAGTACAGTACTCACCTCCACCAAGTACAGTACTCACCTCCACCAAGTACTGTACTCACCTCCACCAAGTACAGTTCTCACCTCCACCAAGTACAGTACTCACATCCACCAAGTACAGTACTCACCTCCACCAAGTACAGTACTCACCTCCACCAAGTACAGTACTCACCTCCACCAAGTACAGTACACACCTCCACCAAGTACAGTTCTCATCTCCACCAAGTACAGTACTCACCTCCACCAAGTACAGTACTCACCTCCACCAAGTACAGTACTCACCTCCACCAAGTACAGTTCTCACCTCCACCAAGTACAGTTCTCATCTCCACCAAGTACAGTACTCACCTCCACCAAGTACAGTACTCACCTCCACCAAGTACAGTACTCACCTCCACCAAGTACAGTACTCACCTCCACCAAGTACAGTACTCACCTCCACCAAGTACAGTTCTCATCTCCACCAAGTACAGTACTCACCTCCACCAAGTACAGTACACACCTCCACCAAGTACAGTTCTCATCTCCACCAAGTACAGTACTCACCTCCACCAAGTACAGTACTCACCTCCACCAAGTACAGTACTCACCTCCACCAAGTACAGTTCTCACCTCCACCAAGTACAGTACTCACCTCCACCAAGTACAGTACTCACCTCCACCAAGTACAGTACTCACCTCCACCAAGTACAGTACTCACCTCCACCAAGTACAGTACTCACCTCCACCAAGTACAGTACTCACCTCCACCAAGTACAGTACTCACCTCACCCACCAAGTACAGTACTCACCTCCACCAAGTACAGTACTCACCTCCACCAAGTACAGTACTCACCTCCACCAAGTACAGTACACACCTCCACCAAGTACAGTTCTCATCTCCACCAAGTACAGTACTCACCTCCACCAAGTACAGTACTCACCTCCACCAAGTACAGTACTCACCTCCACCAAGTACAGTACTCACCTCCACCAAGTACAGTACTCACCTCCACCAAGTACAGTATTCACCTCCACCAAGTACAGTACTCACCACCACCAAGTACATTACTCACCTCCACCAAGTACAGTACTCACCTCCACCAAGTACAGTACTCACCTCCACCAAGTACAGTACTCACCTCCACCAAGTACAGTTCTCATCTCCACCAAGTACAGTACTCACCTCCACCAAGTACAGTACTCACCTCCACCAAGTACAGTTCTCATCTCCACCAAGTACAGTACCAAGTACACCTCCACCAAGTACAGTACTCACCTCCACCAAGTACAGTACTCACCTCCACCAAGTACAGTTCTCACCTCCACCAAGTACAGTACTCACCTCCACCAAGTACAGTACACACCTCCACCAAGTACAGTTCTCATCTCCACCAAGTACAGTACTCACCTCCACCAAGTACAGTACTCACCTCCACCAAGTACAGTACTCACTTCCACCAAGTACAGTTCTCATCTCCACCAAGTACAGTACTCACCTCCACCAAGTACAGTACTCACCTCCACCAAGTACAGTACTCACCTCCACCAAGTACAGTACTCACCTCCACCAAGTACTGTACTCACCTCCACCAAGTACAGTTCTCACCTCCACCAAGTACAGTACTCACCTCCACCAAGTACAGTACTCACCTCCACCAAGTACAGTACTCACCTCCACCAAGTACAGTACTCACCTCCACCAAGTACAGTACACACCTCCACCAAGTACAGTTCTCATCTCCACCAAGTACAGTACTCACCTCCACCAAGTACAGTACTCACCTCCACCAAGTACAGTACTCACCTCCACCAAGTACAGTTCTCACCTCCACCAAGTACAGTTCTCATCTCCACCAAGTACAGTACTCACCTCCACCAAGTACAGTACTCACCTCCACCAAGTACAGTACTCACCTCCACCAAGTACAGTACTCACCTCCACCAAGTACAGTACTCACCTCCACCAAGTACAGTTCTCATCTCCACCAAGTACAGTACTCACCTCCACCAAGTACAGTACACACCTCCACCAAGTACAGTTCTCATCTCCACCAAGTACAGTACTCACCTCCACCAAGTACAGTACTCACCTCCACCAAGTACAGTACTCACCTCCACCAAGTACAGTTCTCACCTCCACCAAGTACAGTACTCACCTCCACCAAGTACAGTACTCACCTCCACCAAGTACAGTTTTCACCTCCACCAAGTACAGTACTCACCTCCACCAAGTACAGTACTCACCTCCACCAAGTACAGTACTCATCTCCACCAAGTACAGTACTCACCTCCACCAAGTACAGTACTCACCTCCACCAAGTACAGTACTCACCTCCACCAAGTACAGTACTCACCTCCACCAAGTACAGTACACACCTCCACCAAGTACAGTTCTCATCTCCACCAAGTACAGTACTCACCTCCACCAAGTACAGTACTCACCTCCACCAAGTACAGTACTCACCTCCACCAAGTACAGTACTCACCTCCACCAAGTACAGTACTCACCTCCACCAAGTACAGTATTCACCTCCACCAAGTACAGTACTCACCACCACCAAGTACATTACTCACCTCCACCAAGTACAGTACTCACCTCCACCAAGTACAGTACTCACCTCCACCAAGTACAGTACTCACCTCCACCAAGTACAGTTCTCATCTCCACTAAGCCACACCTCACCAAGTAGAGTATTCCTCTCCACCAAGTACATTACTCACCTCTACTTAGTCACTCCCCACGAAGTACAGTACTCAATCCCAATTAGTCACTCCCAACCAAGTAGAGTACTCACCTTCCCCAAGTACAGTACTCACCTCCACTAAGTCACACCCCACCATGTTAAGGCCGCGGCATCCCCGTACAATCTCCAGTGCTTGTATGGTTGTCAGTCCTCCTATTTCGGGCGAACCTGAACGGAACATTACATCACTCTGTGTTTGTGACGATAACAGTACTTGTTATAAAGTTACATGATTGATCAAATTAGAATTTTTAGTTCTTGTTATTCCTTAAATTGAGCTGCACGTCACTGATAAGTCTTGAGAGCATAAGAAGATACAAAATTATCAATGAATTCCGATGTTAATGTATTTAAAAAGGTTCGTTCTAATTTTACATAATATAATCAACATAAAGTTAACTTTAGTGGATGATCATGAGAATAGCAAATATAAGAAAGCAATATTCTACAATTATCAATAATTTTTAAAGAGTTAAATACTTATAAATGTTTAATGATAATATTCTTGAACTTAATTAATGTCTTACAACACTTAAAGTCTTGCGGAAAATGTTCCATATTTTTAACACCTTAATCAAATGACTTATAGAGAAGATCAGGGTTTATTCTAGCAATAACATACGAAACATATATATTAACCTTAATCGTGAGGGCATTATAATTATTGAGCACTTTATAAGCTTCACAACATCACAACCCAAGGTCATTATTGTTATTAACAACCTCGTATTGCTTATGAGCTTATAAATTTCAATAAACGTATACAAAGCTCCCGTACTTGAGGACTCAGGGCGCGTTGAAGAGGTTTTCGTTTGTGATATGAACCTCCCATTCTATGTTTATGATGGTTCAGACTCTACTTTAAAGATTTTATCTGGTCTACTCTATCTGTATGGGTGCACTTGTCCATACATGTCTGCCACTTGTCTCTTGAATTTATGTTGCAAAAGAAATCTAGACTACCTAGCCTTCCTAAGCCTAATAGACGCTATATGAGGATTAATATAGTAAATATATGTGCTACACTTGGCCTAGGAATAATAAAGTTAGTATTTAGCTTTATTTCTTTCGGAGGATTGGTTAATGTACATGACTTACACTAGTCCGTACATGGTTGAACGTGTCCCTTCATGGAGTACTTATCTCACTAAATGGAGTACTTGTCCCTGTACGTGGAGAAATTGTCCTTCTACATGGAGTACTTACCTGGTTGATGGGGGTTCTGGGAGTTCTTCTACTCCCCAAGCCCGGCCCGAGGCCAGACTTGACTTGTGAGAGTTTGGTCCACCAGGCTGTTGCTTGGAGCGGCCCGCAGGCCCACATACCCACCACAGCCCGGTTGGTCCGGCACTCCTTGAAGGAAACAATCTAGTTTCCTCTTGAAGATGTCCACGGTTGTTCCTGTAATATTTCTGATGCTCGCTGGTAGGACGTTGAACAACCGTGGACATCTGATTCTGATACAGTGTTCTCTGATTGTGCCCATGGCACCTCTGCTCTTCACTGGTTCTATTCTGCATTTTCTTGCATGTTGTTCACTCCAGTACGTTGTTATTTTACTGTGCAGATTTGGGACCTGTCCCTCCAGTATTTTCCATGTGTATATTATTTGGTATTTCTCTCGTCTCCTTTCTAGTGAGTACAATTGGAGAGCTTTGAGACGATCCCAATAATTTAGGTGCTTTATCTCGTCTATGTGTGCCGTATATGTTCTCTGTATTCCCTCAATTTCAGAAATCTCTCCTGCTCTGAAGGGGGAAGTGAGTTCTGAGCAGTACTCAAGACGGGACAACACAAGTGATTTGAAGAGTACAACCATTGTGATGGGATCTCTGGACTTGAAGGTTCTCGTAATCCATCCTATCATTTTTCTGGCTGACGCAATACTTGCTTGGTTATGCTCCCTAAACGTTAGGTCGTCGGACATCATTATTCCCAAATCCTTGACATGCTGTTTTCCTGCTATGGGCAGATTTGATTGTGTTTTGTACCCTGTATTATGTTTAAGATCCTCATTTTTGCCGTATCTGAGTACCTGGAATTTATCACCGTTAAACATCATGTTATTTTCTGCTGCCCAATCGAAAACTTTGTTAATATCTGTTTGTAGTTTATCAATGTCTTCAGCAGAGGTAATTTTCATGCTGATTTTTGTATCATATGCAAAGGATGACACGAAGCTGTAACTTGTGTTTTTGTCTATGTCTGATATGAGAATAAGGAACAGCAGTGGTGCAAGGACTGTACCGTGAGGTACAGAGCTTTTAACTGCGCTCGGACTCGATTTTACTTGATTGACTGTTACTCTTTGTGTTCTGTTCGACAGGAAATTGAGTATCCAACGTCCTACTTTACCAGTTATACCCATTGACCTCATTTTGTGTGCAATCACTCCATGGTCACATTTGTCGAATGCCTTTGCAAAATCTGTGTATACGACATCTGCATAATGTTTTTCCTCTAATGCCTCTGTGTTTTTGTCATAGTGGTCAAGTAGCTGTGAGAGGCATGATCTTCCTGCTCTAAATCCATGTTGGCCTGAATTGTGGAGGTCATTGGTTTCCATGAATCTAGTGACCTGACTCCTGATCACTCTCAAATACTTTTATTATGTGGGATGTTAGTGCAACTGGTCTATAATTCTTTGCCAATGCTTTGCTACCACCCTTGTGTAGAGGGGCAATGTCTGCTGCTTTAAGCGCATCTGGTATCTCCCCCGTGTCCAAGCTCTTCCTCTGCACTATACTGAGTGCCTGTGCTACTGGCACTTTGCATTTCTTTATAAATGTTCAGTTCCATGAGCCTGGACCCGGGGCTGAGTGCATGGGCATATTTTCAATTTCTCTTTCAAAATCTGTCACGCTCGTGTTGATATCAGTTATATTTACAGTTGTTTGAGTATCATTCATAAAGAAATTATCCGAATCTTCCACTTTCATGCTGAGTATCGGAGTGCTAAACATGTCCTCATACTGTTTTTTTAGAATTTCACTAATTTCTTTGTTATCCTCAGTGTATGAACCTTCACTAATACGAACAGGTCCAATACTGGCAGTGGTTTTCGCTTTTGATTTGGCATATGTGAAGAAATATTTTGGGTTTTTCTTTATTTCTTGAATTGCTTTCTGTTCTAGTTGCCTTTCTTCAGTCTGATATGAATGCTTCAGTCTCTGTTCGATTTCTTAAATCTCCCTGTTTAAATTATTTCTTCTTTGTATGGAGAGTCGTGTCTACTTAAGCATTTCCGTTAATTTCTTCCTCCTTTTGTAATGTCGTCTGCATTCTCTTTCTACATTGGACCACTTTCTGGCTTTCCTCAAAGGAGCATGTTTCAGACAGACTTCATATGCTTCAGAGATCAGTTTTTCTATTCCTTGTGTAGGATTTTTATTTCTTAGAACATTTTCCTATTGAATGTTTGTAAGTTCCCTGTTTATTTTCTCCCAGTCTATCCACTTATATAAAATTGAATTTAATGAATAGCCCTTCTCGCTTGTTGTTTCTCTTGGGCCTACTACCGTTATTAATGTTAGTTTGCACTTCAATGAGCTTGTGGTCCGAGTACGTAGTGTCTGAGACAGTAGTGTCTCTGATTAGCTCCTGATTGTTCGTGAATATCAGGTCCAGCGTGTTTTCGTTCCTAGTTGGTTCTGTAATCTGCTGACCGAGCGAGAATTTGTCACAGAATCTCAGTAGTTCTCTGACCTGTGGTTGTTTATTTCCAGGTTGACTTCCTGCTATAATGTTATTGTTTATTATTCTGCATTTTAAACTTGGTAGATTGAAGTCTCCTAGGAAGAAGATATCTGGTACTGGGTTTGCTAGGATAACAAGGATATTCTCTATTTCGTGGATCTGTTCAGTGAATTGTCCTTCTACATAGAGCACTTGTCCCTCTACATGGAGTACTTGTCTTTCTACATAGAGTACTTGTCCCTCTACAGAAAGTACTTGCCCCTCTACATATAGAGTACTTGTACTTCAACGTAGAGTACTTGTCCCTCTACATAGAGTACTTGTCTCTCAACATGGACGACTTGTCCCTACAACTAGTCACTACATGATTACCACCTGTCCCTACATGGCTACCACTTGTCCCTTCATGGATGACACTTGTTCCTACATAGATACCACTGGTCACTACATGGCTACCACTTGTTACTACATGACTACCACTGATCACTACATGATTACCACTTGTCACTACATGGCTACCACTAGTCACTACATAGCTACCACTAGTCACTACATAGCTACCACTAGTCACTACATGGCTAAAACTTGTCTCTAAATGGCTGCAACGTGTCCCTACATGGGACAAGTTGCAATAACATACTAGTCACTACATGTCCCTACATGTCCCATTGTTACTAAAGGGCTACCACTTGCCGCTAAATGGCTACCACGAGTCACTACATGACCACCATTTGTCCCTGCATCACTACCACTAGTCCCTATATGGCTATCACTAGTCACTAACTGGCTAGCACTAGTCACTACATAGCTACCAGTAGTCCTTAAATAGCTACCACTTGAACTAATTTGTTCATTTGATACATCACGCTACCACCTTGTGGATTTGTTCATATGATACATTATGCTATAGTGATTTCTGTGTGTAATGTAGTGTAGTGTATTGTAGTGTAGTGTAGTGTAGCTACCACTTGTCACTACATAGTTACCACTTGTCACAACATTGCTACCACTTGTCACTACATTGCTACCACTAGTCACTACATGGCTACCACTTATCAGTACATGGCTACCACTAGTCACTACATGGCTGTCACTTGTCCCTACATATTTATCACTAGTCACTACATGGCTACCACTTGTCACTACATGGCTACCATTAGTCACTACATAAATACTACTAGTCACTACATGGCTACCACTTGTCACTTCATGGCTACCATTAGTCACAACATGGTTACCACTATTCACTACATGGCAACAAACTGTCCCTACATGGCTGAAACTTGTCCCTACATGGCTACCCCTTGTCGCTACATTGCTACCCTTTGCGCCTACATGACTACCACTAGTCACTACATGGCTACCAGTAATCCTTAAATAGCTACCACTTGAACTAATTTGTTCATATGATACATCACGCTTTTGTGATTTCTGTGTGTAATGTAGTGTAGTGTATTGTAGTTTAGTGAAGT